TTAAATTCGCAAAGCTTAATTTGGCCCAAGCTTTAATTGCGGCAGCATTAATTGCGGGGGAATTGCGACGCTTTGCGCGAAAGAATTTTAATATCCAGGATCCGAGTACGAATAGATAAATGAAACATGGCAGGTTGGTTTGTTTTATCTCGAAATTTCACGACTAAGATAACCGATTCCGTTCTTGATTACGAATTTATTCCTCTTATTATTCTGCGCGTTAAAGGCGACCGTCACGCAACATAAATAGGACAGGAAAAAGGTTCCTCCGCAAAAAAGGAACACCATAACTATAGACGGGCAATTGGAATCGTTAATGGACAAATTGTCCGCCTCCGGGCGTTTCGGTGTTTGAACGCCGATAAATTTGCATGTTCGACAGGAAAGGGCAGCCATTACACAAGCCCGCGACCGCTTTCTGATCGTTTCCGATCCGCGAGAATTGGTTCAATTTGTTCGATTGTTCTTCCGCAGCGGAGAAAGGACGACTGCAATTGCGGTTAACGTGTTGCCGTAATCGCGACACCCAGTGCACACAAAATGTCACTATTATCCCGTAAATTCGTATTAATGGACTCGGCTTCAAAAATATCTTAGTTGTCGTGTTAAAGCTTTTAGTGGCGTCTCTATTAAATTTCGTTTATTAGTTCGCGGATTTATTTACTCGCGCAAAAAGAAAAGGAAATGTCTTAACGTCTTAATAAACAATAAGCAGCCAGATATGCGTCGCCCTGGAACTACAAAATATACGGGCGAAAATTACGGGAACAAGACGGAAAAAAAGGGGTTGGGAAAGAAAAATAGACGAGAGAGGAAAGAGAGCGCGAGAACTTTGGCCGAGAAATTCCGTCCTTCATCCCTTCGGCTGTTTGTATTCCACCCTTACTCACAGCCCTTAGCTGCCGCGGTCGCTTCTTTTTGCTCCACTTCTCACGCGCGCGCGCATGTGCACAGTCGTTTGCCTTTATTTTACTTTACCCGGACTTCGTCCTTACGATCCACCCGCGCACGAGCTTGAATCGAAAGCGGAAATTGCGAGATTCGTGCGTGATCCTTGCTTATTAAAAGCAGCAAAAAAAGCGGATATTGACGCGTCACCGACTCGACTCAGTATTTCCCGACGCAATATACAAGTAATTGCTACCTCGAGATATTCTTGGTTAAAACTAAAGCCGGGTCGAGCTTCAATCAGCTTCCGCCTGATACCTCGATACATTTGACTCGGAGGGAATCCAAGATTTCACACGGAGAGAATTTTCTCTGAAAATCGTGTAATCGTGGTACAACGCGACATTTCGAAGAATTTCCATTAGAGTTTTTTGGAATTTTACCATACGTTTTACAAGCAATTACAAATACAATTAGTAATGGAAACTCCTCTATTATAAGATACACCCACAGAAAAAATTTCCGGAACCAATGCTATATCGATATAGCGTCAATCATATTTATTGTAGATAAAGGAATATTTTAATCTTTAATGAAAAATTCTAAAATTTAGAATAAAATGATAGTATGTATCGTCTTTTATCGTGGTGCTAACTTCGTGCGTTGTAAGATGGAGGAATCGATAGAGGAGAATAAGAGTTATTGATTTTATTTTAATATTGTCTTATTTTTATACTAAATGAGGTTGTGAGAAATATAAATGCGTGAAGAATATTTTTGATCTCAGTAACAGAAATCCTTTCTGAAGATATAGGATTTTAATACGAGATAGCAGCAAATTTAATCACAAATCTTTTTTCGCAACGATTACACGATCCAGCGATGAATTTTCCACTCAACAGATTTCACTGCAAAGGCAATAAATTCATGGTGGAATCAACTGATGACGCCTGTTACTTTAACAGAAACCCCGCTATCTCGTCTTAAGATCCTATCTCATAATAGGGGACTTTCCTCTGTATATTTGACTAGTAAAATGTGAAAGTCAAAGTTCTTCAAAGTGTCATGTTGTCCCACGATTACATGATTTTCAGGATAAATTTTAAGAAAAATTGCTCCATGTAGAGCATTGATCTTGAATTTTTCGTTGTCTCTGAAGCTTTCAATTATCTGACTACATTAAAAAATCTCTTCTACATGAATTATAAGCCGTTTACTTTGAAAATGAATTCAGTCAAGGTCGAAGCATATTTAATACGTAAACTGCCTTTATTTGCATTTTAATAATAACGATAAATAGAGAGAGAAAGAGAGAGAAAATTATAATGAAAATGAATAATTATATCCAGACAGAATTAATTAATCATATAAAATAGTAAAATTTTATACAGAAGGCCATATGGTATATTAAAGTCTGCATCATAACGGTCGGGGCAAAGATAATCACTATGATATAATACCTGTCACGCGTTATAACACACCGTAGCGTAAAATATTGTATAACATAAATTTTGCTGAATAAATACGAAAGCGGATCTCGCTACTCCGCTCGACTAATGCGATTCGATGATTCGCGAAACATTATTAAAGACCAGTAAACTCGGCCGCGAAGCACGTTCGATTGATCGCTGCGGTACCAAATCGAGAGGAAGAGAAAGAGAAAGAGAATAGTGGAACCGACACTGCGAACGTAATCATGCGAGTTTGATCGGCGAGCAAGCAAATAATTGCGCCAGTCTATCGCGAATTGCAGTTTCCAGCTTTATACATACTTTATGGCCGCGGGGTAGATTTTCCACGTTGCGTTCAGCTTCGCCATGTGATCGTTATGTACGGGCAACGTTATGTAGAAGTTGGAAAAATTAACTAGCAGAAAAACTTTAGGAAACGAAGCCAACTCACACACAGGTAATATGGAACTTTGAATTTTTAATACATTAAAGTCCAGAAGCGGAGGACATATTGCGCACACATTATCATTTATTTCTGCTAAACTAAAAGTAGAAATATACTTTCACGTGTGCTCTCAAGTTGGCATTTATACACGTAGAAAGTACACGGTTTCGTCGATTCAGGAAACGTGTTATGTATTGTATGTAGTTGGATAAAACAAAAGCCTCAACGTTTTAATCCATTGAAACCCATCATATAATGCATTATATTATTTGTCTAAATTAAATCGACGGCGTTAATACGTAAAAAATATATATATATAAAATAATTTCTGCAACGTAATAAAAATTAATACTTGCAAAATCGAGTATTCCGTTTTGCGTAGCGTGGTCCATAGATTGGCGCATTCGGCGATCAAAATCTAATATAGTCTCGAGGATCGTTAGATTATCGCGCGTCGATTTGGCTACTATTGGAAACGAGGATGAAAATAAAAAGAGAAGAGCAGGGAACGCGCGCGAACGTTAATCGTGAATTTGTTGCACCACTCTCGACTCGTATCGGGACGAAGGATGGTGGGGCGCGGTGGAGGTTCATCTGAATCTCGATATTCCCGTTTACGTGGCTGGAATGCAATTCCACGAGATCCGATAAAATCGCGCTTTCCTCTCCTTCCCTGCCCTTTCGCCCTCTCTCTTACACACACACACACACACACACACACATAGAAATTGTCCCCGTCGACTGTTCCGCTGGTCCGGAACGGCGAATCAAGAAATTTTGGCAACGAGCTATCTCGCGGTAACCCGAAAAAGAGAGAGGAAAGGGAAGGAGCCGGTCGTCGAGAACAGCTCTTCCAGCCCTTCGTCTTTTCGACCTCGCCGCGTATTCCTCTACTCGCGTCTCGCTACCCTCACTCTCGTGGCTCGAGGGAAGAAGGCGCGCATTCTTGCTGACAGATGGCAATTTACGACGTATCGTAATTTCGACGGAAATGCACGGTTATCGCGGAATATCTTGGGTGCCAGCAAAACTGTTGCCAAGGGAGCTTTGCAGATGCCGAGTAATGAGAAGCGAAATAATTTGTGTTGATAAAGTGAAATATTTGCCTCGGTACGTGATTCAGTTGGATTTCTGCCGGAATCTCGAACAGCTTCAAAGATAACGTTAATTATTTTATCAATTTTTCATGTAAGAGCTTTTAGAGAAACGATGGTTATTAAACATGATAGAAGACGTGTATGATATAATGGTGATGGATATTTTCAAGATGGTTTCACAACTTTTACAACCCGACGATGAAAATTGACAATCGGATCGATGTAAATCTAGACCAGCCAAGTTTCGCGCAACTCACCCGCTTTCTGCCGAACTGTCGAGCGAGAGGAGAATAACAATGTTACGTGAGATATGTGTACCGATTAAAGAGCGATTTATCCACGCTCGGTATAGAAAATCCTCGGGATGACGGATGCTTGCGTCGCGCGCGAGGGATCCACGGAAGGAGGAGAAGAAGACACGGTGGTTCCTCTCTCCCTCTCTCTCTCTCTTTCTTCGTCGCGTGCGTAAGAGAAGAAATGGCGTTCGGTGTGCGGTTTCAATATTTCGGTCACATAGTCGAGGTTCGAGGAAGCCGAAGAGCGGAAACCGGATCACCGGGGTGGGACGCGCGCGAGATAGAAGGTCGAGAGTCTTTTTTTTTTCTCTCGCGGAGGATACGTTCGACTGGAAGGCGAACTCGCTCCCACAAATCTTCCAGGGGAAACCTCGAACTCGTCGAAGACGCCGCGAAGAAGCCCCGACGAAGCCTTTTCCCCCCAATCCCGTCTACTTTATTTGAGAACGCTATAGCGCTCTCCTGCGAGCTTACTATCGACGTTCCGCGTTCTATTATCCTGAGAAGAAAGAGCCGCTTAATAGAACAAAATACGTTCGATCATGAATAAAATTAACGAAGCAACTCATACAATTAATGCGATATGTTTCGTCGATGAAGACGCTGTAATTACAATAGTTTAATTACAGCGTCTTCAGTAATTACGATACAATGCATCGATGAATTGCGTGATACAATTCGATAAATTGATATCTCTCAAATGAGATTGCTGGTTACGTTTTAGTTCTTCTTTTCTCGGCGCAGAGTTTTCGACGTTATACATTCAAAATGTCCGAGTGGCATACGACGAGATATTCAAAAGACGGTTCACTGTTTGTCACAGGTTCTTTTGTTCCCCGAGGAGGGCTGGGCGAGAAGCGCGAGTAGTTCCTACTGGACCCTGACGCCGTTCTGGTGGAGCCGGAGCCGGTGCAAGGTCGTGGAAGTCGCCGGGACAAGAAGGTGAGAAGTTATTATCAAATTACGGTTACGTCACTGATGCGATTTTGATAGCCAAGAGGTAACGTCGACGTATCTACGTTTAAAGCAACTTGCGTTTCCACCTGACAGTTCCGTAGCGTCGCTTCAACAGTCGTCGTTTCTTATCCGTTCGTTTGCGTTCGATAATTGTTATATCGTGGGACAACCGTTTACAACGCGTTTCCGATTCTTGACGATTCAGGACGCGCCTCGCGTTATCCCCGTCGAGATAACGAGCTCATAGGAGCACACCGTATACGTAAAGTGGATAGAGGTGGATAACGCGAACGGAGGCAGAATACCGTATAACCGGAGAGAGAAAGAGAGAGAGAGAGAGAGAGAGAGGGTAGAACCTCTGTCCTCTCGGAGCGCGCGGTCGTATCACTTTGGAAACTGGGGCCCGTCTAACTTTCCGGCATCCATAGATTTCGGCGCCGTTAAGGTCGCCGGTCGGCGCGGTCGAAGCCGATAAGGGACTCGCGATTTATAGCGATTCGTTCGATCGCTTGTGCGCGCGCGCAGAAGAAAAGACGTCCTCATTGTCTTCCTCCGAATGCTGAGAGCCATGATAAATCTCGAGGAGGTGGAGACGAGTCGGCGAGCAGGCTTTGGACCGTGCGATAAAATCGCGACGTTTTACGACGCCCAAGATCAAGTGTTGTACCTTGGATCCTCGAGGAAATTGTCCTGCGTTTCTTCTTTATAGAAAAATCGCCCTCTAAATCATTGCGCGATGTTTATTTTAATAACTGATACTGAAACAAGATATTTAATGATCTTGTCTCTACAGTAAATTATTACCGACAGGCATCAAAAATATTACTCGTTTTAACTCGTTATTTCTTTCCTATTTAAGGGGATCCTTTAGCCATCTCTTTTACCGACACAGTCAAATATAGTTTTTGCGATTGTAATTCTTTTTATTAGCTTTTATGCACAAAATAATATCAGGATAAGTTGCGGACCGCATAGCGGAACATTATAAAGCCAATTTGAAATTGGCTCTATAAAATTGCAAAATTTTTCGAAGAAGAATTACAAAAACTATATTTGACTGTGTCGGTAAAAAAGAACAGACTGTAAAATGTTTCATAGAAAAATACTACAACTAAAAAAATGTGTGTATGACAAAATGACACAGTTCGAGACATTTGTTTCAAAGACGGAACATCAAGAGCATTCGTGCTGAAGGCCACGCTACAACCGCATACAGGTCATACACCGCGATTAATATATGGTCAAAATTGATTTCGGAGGCATCCTTAGAGCGGCGCACCGGGCATAGACGTCTCCGCAGGATCGAACGGAGTTGACGAAGACAAGACCGAACTTGCCTAAATATCCCTCGGCTCTGCTACGGAACGCCTGTATTCCTTCGTACCACTAGCCGTGCTACAGGGAACCAGCCTGCCCATCTTAGCAAACACGTGGCGTAACGGCTCTCCTGGTTGCACAAATCAATTTCTACGCCCCTACCCGTAGACACGTGTACAGTTCGCGTTATTCTCTGACAAGGACACCAAATACAACACGGTTACTCCGTGACCACGTGTTTTGGCCGACTGTTCAACTTACTCCGATCTCGAGCCCGATTTTCGAGAAAAGATACTCCATTTGGATTTTGATGGTTTCTTGGTCAAGAAAAGTTTTCAAGACAGAAACCATCCCGAGACCTCGAAGATCGTTACTCGGATTTTCAGTTGTTGCTTGCTCGACAAAATTTCCCACGGTTAGAGCACATCTAGACTTAAGCTCGAAAATCTCGACGATCGAATTACTCCATTCTAATCTCCAATCTCGCTGCTCAGTCAACAAAACTTTACCAATCTCATGTTGGGACATCAAGATAGTCGCATCGGAGTCCAATTTATCCCCAAAAAATTACTATTTTATACCGATCCCCATCATTGCTCGGTCAACAAAAGCTTTTACGGCGGGTTGAAACGCGACGACAGTTCGATCGGCTCGTTGGTCGGGTAAATCTCGCCCATTTATCTTCATCGAGGATTTCGACCTCTCACGCAGTGCAATCGACTGCAACCAAATCCAAACCGATTGGGAATACTCGACAAATATGTCGCGATGAGCTCGTCAATTTATCGATAATGAGCCAATACATGCTCTAGAAAGTAAACAATATCTCGAGGGTATCGATAATATAACCACTAACGCACATTAATTATCAACGTAATTATCGTCGCTAATTAGAGTTCGTGATTTTGCTAATTGACATTCGATATCATCCAGTTCATTTTTCCTTCAAGCTTAATTACTTGTCCCTCAAAAAGTGTTCTTACTACAATTCTATGTTACCTTACTTCGTCGCTCAACTGATAGACGCTTATTGAATGTTTATTACAGGCATTTCACGTAAACTTGTCGATACAACGGCGCTGATATGAATAAACAACGTTTCGATCCTGTTCCAGTTTATTTTTCGTTCTGACAGACATTTATTATAAGTATTCGATCGCGTTCACTGTCAGCTGTCACGCATATATTAAAAGTATTTCGTGCGATATCGTCGATAACGTCGGAGCGAAAAGAGTCGAGAGTCGAAAAACGTCCTCGTGTTTACGTCAAGGACACACGAAGTCACTGTCCATTATGTCTACTGTGCCCCCGCGTAGTTGCGTAAACGATAAAAAGTAACGTCTACAGGGCCTTTCTTCGATGGTCCGGATTTTTCCTTGCACACCCTTTCCTTTCGGGGGAAGCTGGGGAAATCAAAGCAGCCGGCGCGACGGACTTCGAACCGAGTGTCGGATGCGCCGCCGTTCGCCTCAATGAAGGCCGTTTAAACTTTTAATGATCGTCGCCGGTCCTCGAGAAGTATCTCCGCCGGAATAAGCCCCTCGAGTCGACCGTGCGGGTGTTGGTGAATTCTCTACCGCCTGCACCCCTCCCCTCCTCTATTTCTCGTTTACTTTCTTTATGCAGAAAAGAGTTTTCTCTCCTCAAAAGCCCCTCCTTCAGATGGAATCTTTTAACGTGATATTCATTAATTTTATTTTCGCACAATTTGTATATGTGTCATTATTTAATTTATATTTGAAAGAGAGAAAAAAAGGAGTCTCTAACATGAAAATGTGTACCTTAGTTTTCAAGTTCTTGGAAAATAAGAGAGGAAAAGTTTCACGCGTTATCATTCATGTGTTAAGTTAAACTTATAAAATGTAGTTTTTAGAAAAGACTTCAAGACTTGGAAGACCAACACATTTTTTCCGGAATAAACAAATGAAATATATACCTATTCATCTCAGCAATATTATTAAGGGCTCACAGTTTCTCCTCTTATAATAAAATATTTTTGTAACAATTCTACAATTTTAACATAGGTCCTTTAAGATATAAAATCAATTAGAAATTAAAGAGGCCGTTTAGGACCGGGCATAGGTGTAAGTAGCCAGTTAAATTAAATTATTTAAGTGAATTCATATACCGTATTCTTTTCCAACTTATCCTGTGCGCCAGTTACATACTAGTCTTAAAACACAGGTTAATCCCCGTAAGTGGAAGTGTTATCGTCAGTGAATTCACGTTAATAAATTATTTTAATAATGCTACACAGTAGCATCTAATATGATATTTGTAACAATTGTACAAACATTTAGTAGATACCTATTGTAATGGAATTTGAAATATACACTTCGTTGTACTCTTTCTTTCTTTTCACTATCATTAAAGAGCCTATAGCTCTTGTCACCAGTCAAGTGAAACTCCCCCTCGTCTTCTCAATCACTCCCGCTCCATAATTTCCCCTTCGTTCATCACTTCGATGAAGATTGCGTGGCCTAAAGACACGGCACGTAGCTAACGACAATTAACTTAACAACGCGCACTTGAGATGGTACTCAAAAGTCTCAAATCGGCATCCACAGTTCGAACACATCAAAAACTTCCACCATCCAATAATACTTTTAACACGTAGCACATAAATTGTGATAAACTGTACTATACTATATAATAGAAATCTAGTTTTTAAATAATTAGCGGGAAAAAGAGTGAAGAGGACTGGGACGATGAGAAATGAGTACACGGAGAGAATTTTCTCTTAAAATTTAGCCTGAAGACCACGTAATCGGGCATTTAGGAGAATTTTATGACACTTTATTAAAATTTTACCATACATTTTACTAGTAATTATACTTAGTACACATTTTATTAGTAAAACCCGGAGAAAAAAATGAAAATATCTCATTCTATATGTCTCAATCATGTAATATCTAATTATATCCAATTCTAAAATCGTCACATCTTCAGAGATCTGACGCTTTCATTGAATATTCAATGCTATTATCCTTTTGTGACATCTAATTATATTCTCTTAGAACATTTAATTATAGATTTAGTTAGATCTCAATAGGTAACGTCGAACAATCGAGGAAAGTGTCAAATCTCTGAGGATCTGATGATTTTCAGAACTGGATCTTATGAGATGTAATTAGAAATGACATGATTAAGACATATACAATGAGATTTCTTTCCATTTTTTCCCGGGAATGTATGGTAAAATTTCAAAAAAACTTTCGTAAAGTTCTTCAAAGTGCCACGATTACATGATTTTCAAAGTAAAAAAGAGAAAATTCCCTCCGCGTAGCTTCAGTTCTGTTGCTATCGTAATATAAATAGTTTTCGCGATTTCTTACAAAGAGGTAACAATTGGAGGAATCGCCTCCTTATACAAACGTCTTTTATAAGCATACACAATGCCTCGCTACCCCTGCCGAGTGCAACTCGGGAGAGAGGGTAAGAATATCGAGGGTGTGCTCGAGGGTCGATCTTCTCAAGGATTACGTCAAAGACGCCAGAACGAAAAGCGAACGAGCTAAAGACGACGAATTGATAGCTCTCTGCTTATACTCGGTGTATCAAAATCGATTGCGCTTTTTCTTCTTTTCTTTCTTCTCTATACTATATAAGGTCGATACCACGTATCCCGGATACTCATGATTTTTTCTCGCCGTACATTTTTCTACCGGCTTCGAGTCGATCGCCCCGTACCAAAAGTCTAATTGGTCGTGAGGTTTTAATTCGAAAAATCGCGATTGTGTTTCAGGTATAGTACTCAGGCGAAGATGGTGGACACGGGTACGGGCACGCTTTACATTATCGGCTCGTTCAAGAGGATGACCACCGATCCCGATTTCAAGGTGTGGATTTATACAATTAAATTTACTAAGCGTGCATTCGTTAACTCCACGTTTGCGTTTCAATTGTTCTCGTTTTTAATAAAAAGTAATTTGTCCGAGCAGAATGTCGTACCTTCTAATTCGCGAAATTGTGCGGTCGCTGTGCCCCGCGATTGCTATTAATGAAATGCGTAACAAGTTGCTAGAATTTCCTATCGTAATTCCTAAATTGGGTAACACGCTTCATCAACTGGCTCACGTTAGTTGTTGAACAAACTCGTCGCATGTCGTACCGAGTAGAGAAATAACCTTTAACCTTTTTACAGGCTACGCTACGTTGTATTTCCCCACACTGCCACTTTACTTTGACCCAAAATTATTTCGAAATCATAAAATAATGATTTATATATCTATAAATACATTACAAATAAATAGGTAAACTAGGAGAACTTTCTGTTCTGAAAGAATGCTATTCTTTCTTTAACATATCCTTTTAATACGCTTACTGGCGCGAACAGAAAATATGTACCTAATTCATACACGGATTGGTTCACATTTAACGAAATATGATTTTGTCGTGCCATACTTTCTCCCTGAAACATAATTCGCGGGAGGACTTCTTTCCGTAATCGTTGACTGCTCAAAATTTTCAAACTGTTTCGACATTTTCGTGGAAACGTTGACTTGAGATAATTAATTATTTGGATAATTGCATGGAGAGAATTTTTTCTTACAATTTATCCTGAAAATCATGTAATCGTGGGACAACGCGGCATTTCGAAGAATTTTATGAGAGTTTTTCCAAATTTTACTAGCAGAACATGTGGTAAAATTTCAAAAAACTCTCATAAAGTTCTTCGAAATGCCATGCTGTCCCGCAATCACATGATTTTTAGGATCAATTTTAAGGGAAAATTCTCCCCGTGTATTTAAAAAAATACAACTAAATTCATAAACTTGAATTACACTAATTACTTTTTGCGCCGCCGTAAGAACGTCGGGCGAGGCTCGCGCAACTCTTCTAAACGACGCACCGGGCGTCGGAAGCTTATATCGGAAGCTCGCAGTCCGCCCCGGCTAATCTGCAGATTGTCGGATTACGAGAAATTTCGTCACCGCGCGATACTTCCGCTCGCGCGGGCAACGTATTCGCGACGCCGCGCGACGCGATCAACATATCTCCGCTTTGTCTCTCCGCGTAAAAACGTATCTCCCGGCGAGTGCGCGCATGCAATTTTTAGACGCCTCTATCCGCGAGAGCCGAGGCCACGCAGCGGAGTGATAATTAAATAAATGAATTAATTAATATACTGCTACGCGGAAAACTTGGTATCGTTGCGCATTGTTTGTAACGCGCGCGTTCGTCGTCCCCGTTTCCGCAATTACGGAAACAGGTCGCGCGCGTTTTCTGCAGGCGAATTAAGCGAATTGAAGAATTCGCATTCCGCGGCCCGCGCGGACGTCCGTCCCGGTGAATTAACAAGATCACGCTCGTGGAAAAAAAAACACCCGGGCGGTCCCCGGCCGGGATGCGCGCGAAACAGCCGAGGAAACGTCACGCGAGAGCGTGACGCCGCGATATTTCCCGTTGATAAATTTCATATTCGTCAAACATGCGAAATAACGGTTATCAAATTTATCACTGCGTCATTATTACATCGCGCTCGTTTACCGCCATAATCACGCCGGTGGATACCGCACGCAGAAAAATACGGTCCTACGGCGTAATGGGTCGTTAATCTTTTTACCGAGAATACATGCGTACACGCCACGTCCACGCGTCGCCGTTGATCGCGCCGAGACGCGTTTCGTCGTTATCGTTCGCGACTTTTAATTCTCGCTCCTCCTACGAGGGCCAGAAATGCAGAAATTCGCGAGCGAAGGGACTTTTACTCGGAGTCTCGGAGGGGAATAACTGTCGGCCGACAAAAGGCGTCGACGCGTCTCGCGTATGTACGTAAAGCCTGTATCAAACTACGGATTGAGATTGAAATTTGGCCAAGTAGAGTAAAAGTCACTAAAGCCCGTATCAGAGTACGGATTGAGATTGAGATTAGATTGAAATTGACCAATTAGAGTAAATTGACCAATTAGAGTAAAAGTCACTAAACTTGAGATTGGTAAACTTTGCTCTGATTGGTCAAATTTCAATCTAATCTCAATCTCAATCCGTAGGCTGATACGGGCTTTAAGAGATTAGTCACTTGAGATTAGTAAACTTCACTCTGATTGGTCAAATTTTAATCTAATCTCAATCTCAATTCGTAGTCTGATACGGGCTTTAAGACCGAATCAGACTAGCGATTGCCGACTCGGATTGGATTGGGATCAGCGATTGACGATTGTCCTGTAGCCAGTGAGAGTCGATTAAGTCGCTAGCCGCTTCGCTTTCAATGGCTAGAAGACAATCGCCAATCGCAATCCAATCTGCGTCGACAATTGCTAGTCTGGTCCAGCCTTAAGACCGAATCAGACTAGCAATTGCTGACTCGGATTGGATTGGGATCAGCGATTGACGATTGTCCTGTAGCCAGTGAGAGTCGATTAAGTCGCTAGCCGCTTCGCTTTCAATGGCTAGAAGACAATCGCCAATCGCAATCCAATCTGCGTCGACAATTGCTAGTCTGGTCCAGCCTTAAGACCGAATCAGACTAGCAATTGCTGACTCGGATTGGATTGGGATTGGCGATTGACGATTGTCCTCTAGCCAATGAGAGTCGATAAAATCGCTGGCTGCTTCGCTCTCATTGGCTAGAAGACAATCGCCAATCGCAATCCAATCCGCGTCGACAGTTGCTAGTCTGATTCGGCCTTAACGTTGATGGCACGCCTCGGGCACACGTCGCGACGCGTTTTCACGACGTTTATCGAGGTGCCTGGAGAGAGGAGTCGCGTCGAGAGCAGACTTTTTCTGCGGAGGGAGGAGACCCCGGACAACTGCGCGCGTATTCCCCAAATGCCTAAAGTAGATGCCATTGCGGGCAAACGACAGGGGAGTCGCATAGCTGCCGCCGGGGGTTTTATGACGACACTGAATACGCGAGAGCCGCGACGTGTACGCGCGCTTCTTACGCGTACGTGTCGTCAAACGTGCTGGAATGTGTAGCGCGCGGCTGCCGGAAAAGTAACACGTGTCCGCGCGCCAACGGTCAGTCGTAACTGTCGCGCATGCAATTTTGATGGAGAGCCGGTCTTGCATAAAGGACACGACCAGGCTCTGAATCGACGGACGCGAGCTTCCCTGCGCTTTCTAATGATCCGCCATTGAGGCTCGTCCGACCGCGTCCGAAATATCGTATCCCCGGTAATAGCGAAAGCACGAGCTACGTTTTTAAATGTAAATTACCAAAAGAGCAGCGGGACGTTTTAATTAACACAGATACGCTTTACGGCAATTTTTTTCCCAACTGGTTAACTTTTAATTACAAGCAGTCCGACCAAGGGATTTCGACGGGCTGGTTGCAGCCGCGCTTTATTTGTGTGCAAAATGAACTAATTGTATATTTACGTTACAAAAAACACTGGATGGCATAAACATAAAAAATGGACAATTTGCTGGTCTTTATACACGTGCACCACTTGCGTTACATTGGCTGCTTTCCTTTTAGGAGGCACAAATCGACACAAGTTGACACACCCGAGAACACGTTGCCACAGTTAAATGGCAAAGGCTCAAAGAAAAAGACTTTAAAGGCCTGTGTCCACGATGCTAGAACCTGGTCCAAGTTCGAGTACCGAGAAATGTGTAGCCAATCAACTTGCAGCTATTTCATAAAAGCATTTCTCGAAACTAAAACTTGGACCAGGTTCTAGTGTCGTGGACGTAGGCGCCTTAAGAAAGGATTCTATCGAAATACTCGAAGAGTGGATGCGTTCTTCGGTCAAAAGCACACTCCGACTCGCCTCCCTAGCAGAGTCGAAGAGTGTCGATTCAGTTCGAATTAAATTCTATAGTGACACGCGTCGATTTGTGTAAAAAAATGTCGACTGCGTTCTCTGAAAGGAAAGCAGCCATTATTAACGGGACCGACGAGATTGTAACCGGAGGAGGGAAATAGAAAAGAAAAAATTCGCGGGAGACTCTTCTCGAGTTTCGTGTATGCGCGAGAGCAACGCAGTGATATCGTATCGATCTGCTTGCCGCCCTGTTACAGCTGTACCTGACGTCGAACGTCTCGTCGAGCGACTTCAACATGGGCTATAGTATGACGGGCACGCTGGAGCGCGGCTGCAAGAAGACCAACTCCTTCCAGATGACCCACTTCGCGGTGATACGGCGGCGGGACTACGAGAAAGCGTACGAGGACCCGAATCCCACCTAGTGTCCGTCCACACCCACGCTCTCCGAGTGTGGGGACTGCGAGCATTACACGTAGCTAGGGGGAAGAGGCGAGGGGGCCGCCGGGAGGAGCGAGATGCACTTCCGCGTCGTGCGCTCGCATTTGCGCCGGGGCCCGGGGGGAGAGTGCACTCGCCGCTCGATGGATCGTCGGGAAGGAGTCGCTCCTTGGCGCGAGATCGATCGCGGGGTCCCGTGGCTCCTGGTGGGTTCCACGTGTTCCTCGAGGCGTGGATCGCGAGGGCGCTCGATCGCGGATCGCTCGTGTGTGAGCGGGAACCTCCCATGTCTGTTTCTGCCAATGCAGATTAACTTTGATCTCGGTGTAATTCACTTCCTGTCCTTTTCCAACTCTTACAGGTAGAAAAGGATAAGAAGAGAGTTAAACCGAAATCAAAATTAATCGACGCTGGTAGAAACGGACATTAGAGAAGCATCTGTGTACAACATTAGACCGCTAAATCCAGGGTATGGAAGTGACGCGTTAATTGTAACGCCGTTGCCGTTACAAGTTACTCTTTTTAGTAATGGGCTGGTAACGACGTTACTTTTTTTTTTCCTTCTGTTACGGTAACGTAGTTACGTTTTTCTAGCGACTGTAACGAATTAGCAGTTACTTTTGTCATTACTTTTTACATTTCAACCCCAGTTATAAAATATAACTATATTTTCTTACAATTTAATCTCCAGGCATCGATCGATATTTATTATCTATTATTATCATGGGTTGTTATATTAAAGATAAATTCAAAATTATTATGTTAAAAATTTGAATGCAAAATTGAGAGTACAATAAAAAAAACCGCTGGTTTCATCTCGGTTTCAGGATTAAAGAAATAACGGAAAAAGTAACAAATCGTTAGTTTTCAAGTAACGGTAACGATAACGAGTTACATTTTTTACTCGGTAAAGACGCACACCCACGCACACTTTCCGCAAAACTATAATACGCTCACTCTCTGTCGGTCCTTCGATCTTTTCGGTTTCGATCGCGTGGTATTCCACTATTGTTTTTGGTAAAAAAATCCTGTCACACTGTCATACTGATTTCACATTACCACACATACAACATCCGTCTCATTGGCTCCACCACAAAGAAATGGCGGATGCGCCGAAAGGATCGACGCAGTACAAAACAAATGACAGAGTGGGCATACTAGTTTATACTATGGTAAAGCGTAACAGTAAGGTTTCGACCAATCACGTGGCTCGATTTTCGCTTACGGCGTTGCCGGACGTAAGCGAATCGAGCCACGTGATTGGTCGAAACCTTACTGTTACGTTTTACGGAAAGTGTGCGTGAAGGCCTTAACGAGTAACGATAACTAGTTACTTTTAAAAGGTAACTTTCCTATCCCCGGCCAAATCTGCTTGCATTTCTCATTTATCGTTCGCATTTATCTTCCAAAAGGCGTGACAGAGGTACGGAATAATCGCACGTAGACAAAAGCCGCAGATGGAAATGTATTAAAAAGTGAACGGGGAAGAAAATGGGTAAAAAGGCAGTAAGGTAAGCAGGGAAGAAACGCGAACACCGCAATTCCATTCTATACGTCATCTACATTTTCCCTTGTAAGACATCATAAGAACGGGGGATAATCAAGATAGAGTGTGAAGAAGGAAGCTTTAATTCGCGCAAAATCAACATTAGCTCGTGGTAATAAGAGATCATGGAGATGAAAGGAGGTAGTGAAGATCAAGATAGAGTGGATTATGAGGAAAAAAGAATGCCGAGAGTTTTCATTCTTACAGGATAAATATCTCTTTCGCGAGATTTTTCCACAAAATAAACCCGTGATGGATCCCTCGTAGCAACCGAATTCTTTCAAGGTAGCAATGTCCTTTGGACTCCTGAGATTATCCGCGCACATAATTGAAACAATTATTTTGCGTTTACCAGAGCTTGCGTCAGGGCTTCATTAGCGTTCTAATGGATTGCACAGTGTCTCTCCGTAACCTCGAATCGTCCGTTACTTTCGCGCGTAATCGAGTTCGAGATCGAACGAAACCCGGCAGCGACCTGAAAACGGCAGCGACACTTCGTTTCCGCGAGGAGGTAAGAACGGCTGTAGGTTCGTCGTTGTCGCGAAACGGAGAAACGAAATACCAAAGTCGAGTGGCGGCCCTGCGCGACAGAGCCAAACGTCCAAAGATAGTCCTTAAATTAGAACGAATTAATTAGCTCTTAATGGAGATCGTCGAGCGTTGCATATACCTATAAGCGGGGAAGCGTATACAGAGGAGCGACGTTAATCGAGAGGATGCGAAAACCGTTTTACCAAAGTACTAGCACGTAAGTTACTTGCAACTTTCTGCCGGCGATAATCCAAGATCGCAACGCACACTCCTCCAATCCGCAAGGTACACTGCTTCTCATCGATCGACGCATCGATGGCTGCCGCCGCCTCGTCGGGATTACAATTAGTAAGTGATTAACGAACTGAGGCTTTTTCCGGGGTGAATCCACGGCGAATCAGCTGCCTAGAGAGTAGTGTTCTATGTGCCAATTCAAGAAACCATCGTTGACGAGCACTGTACCTGACAATTACTACAGAGTCAGAGCGCGCGAATGCGCACGATGAAAAGCCCGGGACGGGCGAAACGACGTTTCAAACCCCATTTCGCGGTCAGACGAAAGTTTAAAAGGCGTTTAAAAGAGATCTGCGGAACCGTTGAGAAGGATTAACACATTGAGAAAAGGATTAAAACGTCTTTTAGCTTTGTGCGACATTGCCAACTTTCTGGAATAGCGTCGTCCGGCTTTTACTCTTCAATTCCCCTACAATGTGTTCGAACAAATGAAAAATTTTATCGCCAGTAAATTCTTGGAATACCGTAAACCTTGGGCGGCTCTGGCCAGTTTCGCGGTATTTGTTTATACTGTGCAAATTTACCTTCCAATTGTTAATACCTGTGGTGTATAAAATCATTTTAAAAAAAAGAGGAAACGTGGCAACAGGGAGTGAAAATTTTAAGACAAACTCGTACAGCAATAAACAAATACCGAAACAGTGACCCAAGTCAATCCAAAGTCTACGGTACCTCGTCAATCATTTTCTTTCGACATTTACTGCGCATCGAAATTTATTATGCCTCTCGAATCTTGAGCCGCAGTTTAATTCTCGGGCGCAAGAGTTACTCGAAAACGGTACAGAGTTCATCGGTTTACGCCTTCGGTGATTAAGTTTTCCCATTTGACCGGTTTCGCCGCGGAACGTCTATCGCGTTTCAAGTTCGGCGGCTCGCTAGAATGGAAAATTTCATATGGCGGGGGCCCGCGCGCCAGGACGCCGGGTTATAAATATCGTTTCGCTGGTCTAAGGCTTTATAGGCAGTATATAGCTGTAGCGTGTAGCCGGCTTACAAGGTATTTCAAAGCTTGTTACGCGCCGCTTTCTTTGAGCCACCGCCGACGGACGTCGCTCAAGGAAGGAAGAGAAGCCGCGGGAGAAGGAGAGCTTCGCTGCACCGACGCCGGACACACACGCGACACAAAGCGAGAGGTTCTTCCCTCTCGCGCTACCTTACATGCGGGATCGTCGTGAGTCGGCGTTGTAAACGCGTAACACGATACTTATTTTTGCTAAAGAGTAGGAAGTCATTCACGCCGGCCACGATGCATCCCGATGAGATCGACGTCAACGATCGCCGATCGTTCGTTCGGGGCGAGGGTGCGATTCCGGCGAGTCGCGGGTCGCAAAAGATTCGACGTGTCTTTCTGTATCGTATTTTATTAACGATTTCGGCCCGTAATAGCAATTAAACATGTTACGTTTTAATATCGAGTCAAAATGATTTATTTATTAAATAATTATTGTTACTTGGTCCTTTTCTCGTGGTTGTATTATATAGTAGCGCCGTTTTTAACGTTGCGCCGCGATTCTCCAATTGTTTCTACGTACGAGTAACGATGGCAGGAGTGTACTCGTGCGAGCTTTGACACTGCTGTCTTTAGAGAGAAGCCGATCAACGGCGAACGAACGATCTGAAAAATTCTATTATAATAAACTCGTCGTGCGTAACTCCCCTTTATAGTCCTCAAAGAAAATCTAGTACCTACCGCTTTTGCTCAAGGAATTACCTATAATGCCAAATGAATACTGTGTGCTACAGCGCGCAAGAAAGTTCAGTCATTTTGATATTAAGATACGTATTGCGTTAAGAGCTTTCGTTTAACTATCGAGACAAAGTGAGATGCATCCTCGAGCGTCTAGAATGCCGTTTTAGATTATTTCCCTTAGGGACGCATGGTAGTTACTGAATATACGCATCGAGACTTCATTCAAATAATCCTTTCAGTATGAAATTCAGTACAAATATTGATTACCTTTCACTTATCTCTTCATTAATTGCGTTCTATTTTCGATTTTGCTTTCTCATTAACGGACGTTAAATTAATGATCCGTGAATCGCTCAATGTAACGAGTGATTTAATAGTTACGGAATAAAGAAACATATTATATTCAAGCAAACTTATAGTTTCAACTTTAATGAGCACAGTTAGTACTGTTTATTGCGAAAAATATTACGACATGCCCCAGTTCTCTGGGGAAAAAAAAGACAGCAACCCATTTTGAGGCCCACAATTAGTAATCGAATTATTTGGAATGTTCCACTCAGGGAAAAATTTTAACCGGTTTTTTTTGTAGTTAAGCAACTTAACTACAAAATATCGACAGAACTAATTGAGAGAATTGATTGGTATTACTTAAAAGTCTTGGATATAAATAGAATAGCTAATTGCGATTTTCAGTTTAGGGTAAAAGATTAGAGTTACGAACAATTCAAATAATTCGATTACTAATTGTGGGCCCCAAAATGGGTTGCTGTCTTTTTTTCCGAAATAGTGAGACACCCGCCTAAAATGTAGGGAGGTCCAGGTTCAAATCCTGGCTGAGGTGACATTTTTCGCAATAAATTTCTTTAATTAGAATTTGCCTAGCGTCGTCTAGCAACTGTCTACATTGTTTAATGGGCACCGTCACTATTAATTTGCAAATTTTAAATAAGTCGCAATCCTGAATTATTAATATAGAATCTTTCGT